TGCTGACTGCAGTTCAAGTCCTGGACCTGGCAGCTTAGCTTCTCACTTTCCCTCTCTCTCACACACATTCTCACTCTGTCCTCTTCTGGTCAAATTTAAATAAACAAATAAAATTAAATTAAAAAAAAAATAGGCCTGGGACCAGCAGTTGGCGTAATGGCTATGTCACTGTAATCCCATGTAGTCGACCACAATTCGAGTCCCAGACCCAGTGGCTTAAACTCATGCTGGGCATGTGTGCGTGCGTCCCCAAGATCCCGAGAGGAGGAGAAGAGATTGCGACGTGGCCATCCCCCTGGGGGGTGATTTCTCGCTTTCTGTCTCTCTGTCTCTCTCTGATTGTCTGGCGAGCGCACACGCCCTATAGCGAAAACCTCTCAAAAAAAAAAAAAAAGAAAAGAAACAACTAGGCCTTTACTATGTAGACTGTCACAGGGGCTGGGGCAATGGCACAGAGGTAAAACACGGTCCTCTGTGAAGAGCAGCATGTGGGAAGGTTGCTAGTTAACACCCGACAACCTCTCGGACACGCTAGGCATATGTGTCTCCACAGTCCAGGGCTGGCTGAGGCTGGGGGTGTACAATGGCATGGGGACCCGGCGGGGGATATTGTTTCTCTGTCTCTCTCCTCATGGATGAAATAAATAAAATTAAACCGTTTCTAAAAATTGCCATAGAACATTTAATGAAAAATGTTAAACATACTTACCTTTAAATTTTGACCTAATGTTTGCCAATTCTTTGTTTATCCTCTTTATTTCTGCTTCTTTACTTTTACCTAAAAATTAAGAGAGAGTAGAAAAGCATTGTTACTTTCACTGATTTCTAAAGAAACACGCATCTCTGCTAAGACCCACACCCCAAGCCAAGGTGCCATCCCCGCTCCCAGGAGTGGAGAGCAGCCTGGAGTCTGACTCGCCCGCTGTTTCCAGGCAGAAGAGCCACGGAGAGAAGCAGCTGCCTCCAACCCAGCGCCGGCAGAAGGTGGCTGTGTCCCCGAGGACACAGGGCAGGTGGTCCCACCCAGACCCCGGAGTTCACAAATCCCCAAGACACTGGGCTCATCCTTGGCCTGCTCAGCTCGGAAGGGCCTAACGACCACCGCCACCTTCTAAAATTTCTCTCACCTAGTAGAACACGACCGCCCCTCTGCAGCACGCCCAGGGCACCACTGCTCTAACCGCATGTCTGCCAACACACAGGGCCTCACTCTGGCCGAACTGAAAGAGCACTCCAGTTGGGACAGCAAGGACCTGTGAAGTGCTCCCTCACCCAGGCACTGAGCCAGTCAAAAAAGCTGTTAAGGCCACAGCTCCCAGGGCCAACAGGCAGCATGGTGGTTAAGGCTCTGGACTCCCACATGGCCAACTGCAGTTCAAGACCCAGACCTGGTGACTAGAAAAATCACACTGGGTATGTATGTGTGTATGCCCAAAATCCCAGAAGAATTGAAGAGAAGGGATTGTAGGATGGCCACTCCCTGAGGGTACCGTCTCACTCTCCCCTCTCACTGTCTCTCTCTCTCCGGTGAGCACATACACTCTATGAGGGAGGGGGGAACACACAGCTTCTGCCCCCAGAAAACTCCCACAAGGCAGAAGCACCTAGCGCCTTCCCCACTCTGCCCAGGCCTGCCCTCAGTGCCCAGACTCCTCTCTGCGAATGCTGGCCAGCTGCAGGTTCCCAGGAAGCAGAGCAGCCGGCAGAGGGCTGCTGTGGTCGATGCCACCCTCTGACGCCCCAGAGGAACAGCTGAAGACAAACGTTCTTTCTGACAGTTCTCTCAGTAGTACTGTCTTGGGGCCAGCAGACAGCATGGTGGTGAAGGTGCTGGACCCCACTTGGCCAAGGCCTGGACAAGAACCACCATCTGCCGTGTGTGAGCCCAGCGCCCTTAACCACGCCACCTGCCAGCCCCCCTACAACAAATTTTTAAAATAATAATAAAATTAAATAATTCTCTTTTGTTTTAAAGAGAGATTTTTGCTAGAGGGCATATACACTCACCAGAAAGAGAGAGACAGAAAGGAAGAAATCACCCCATGGAGGGATGGCCACACTGCGATCCCTTCTCCATTCTCCTCTCAGGCTTTTGGACACACATGCACATGCGCCCAGGGTGAGTTTTAAGCCACTGGGGGTCCCTGACTCAAACCACGGTCAACTATGTGGGAGCCCAGTGACATAACCATTATACCATCTGCTGGTCCCCAAGGACAGTAATTCTTTCAAAAATAAATAATAATAATAAATATCTTTGTGGAAGTAGGATTTTGGACCAAGCTGAAAGAGCCACAGGAATAATGTCTTGGGAGCTTTTGCCACGTGCCTACAAAGACTCCACGTGGCCTGGACCGAGCATGGCCGGCCCCCTCTACACAGAGAGCTGCAGGGCTCTGCGTGTGCCTGCACATGTGTGTCTATGTGTGCCTGTGTGCACACGCCTGCATGTGTGTGCCAGTGAGCCTGTGAGCACCTGTGCAGGCCTCTGTGTGCACCAGGGTGTCTGTGTGCATATGTGCTTCTGGCAAAGGTATACACAGACCCGTTGACGAGTTGTCAGAGGGAACTCTGCACTTCTCTCTGGGAACGCACCCCAACTGGCTTCCCAAACACCAGGCAAGAGACCCTCTGAGTGCAGAAACGGGTCGTCTAGAGTCAAGAGGGCCACATCTGGAGCAGAAAGAGTTAAAAGGCTAGGAGGCGGTGGAAAGAGGAAATGTAAGTCAAATCAACCTTTTTTTTAAGAATTATTTATTTAATTTTTTAATTTATTCATCCATTTATTATTTTAATTCGACCAAAGAGAGACAGAGAGAGAGCGAGAGAGGAAGTGAGAAAGCAAGCCACCAGGTCCAGGACTTGAACCGTAGTCGGCCATGTAGGAATGTCCAGCACCTTAACCACCGCCACTTGCTGGTCCCAACTTTTTTTTTTTTTTTTTTTTGGAGGGGGTTTTTCTA